AATACAGTCCAAAGTGTTCACTAGGAACTGGTGTGCCTTCTGTCGTGTGGCTGGGAACAACTGGGGAACTCTTAGATGCGGCTGCCTGGGCACTCGCCATGCCACTTATTCTCCTGTGCCTTAGTTCACCCACCTAAAAAAAAGCATCTACGCTGGACTGAGCACTCACAGGCCTTTCTAGAGCTTACTGTCTAGCCACTGTGGACAGTTGGTGAGTTTCTAATGTCAAGTTGTGTTGGAAAGAAGGGGGCCATATCTACCATTTTGTCCCGCCCCCATCCAACCCCCGCATGGATTCAATGCCAGGCTATGCACATACAAAAGCTGGTCTCCTCAGAGGAGACAAATGATGCCCCTTAGAGCAAATGACAACCTGGCAACAAACAGCTTCGTTCAGCCCAGGAAGCACTCAGGTCTCTCCTGGGCCTCCGTGTTTCTTTCTAATAGAATATGGATGCTCTGTTTGCCCAGTGACCCATGTTTAACTCAATTCAAGGAAGCCAGGGGAAGAAGAATGTCCTTCGAAACTGATGCTTAGTCCTTGGCAACCTCCTGGCAGACAGCATGTCAGTTCCTGCTCCAGAACTCCAGGATCCAAGAATCCAGGGATACTTGCCACATTGTGGGAACCTATTTAGCCAAACTGGTCATGAGGAGCACATGTCACAGTATGCAAACTTGGGTCACCAGCTCTGCGAGACCACACTTGCCTGCCCTCCCCAATTGGCATTCCACTTTGAAGTCCACAGTGATGCTGCTGGGGTTTTGGCCAGAGGGAATTTGAGGTCCTCTCATTTAGGGTCCAGATCCTTACCAGACTCTTATCTTTGAGAATTTGGACTATGAGATCAGGTCCAGTCTTATCTCCCCAGCACCTTTTGACTCATCCATCCTTTCAAGCCAGCCCTCCTACGTGGTATCAGCCCCCTAGCAACCATTACGTAACTTCATTCTTCAAGAAGGGAGGTCACTGCTGACTTGACCTTGGTGTGACTGGTAATCATTTACCAAAGCTGGTGAGCTCTCGCAAGAACAAGATGGTGGCTGATTGTTTGCACAGCTGAGTCTGAAAGGGCTGGTCTCCCTGGGCTGGGACTGTGGTTTAGTCCTCCTAGGTCAGAAAAGCATTGTGCATTTTAAAAGGTGCTTTTTGTACCCTTTGGGTGTTTGTTTAAGAACTGGATTTGCTGGTTTTACTATAGAAATTTGCACATTAGGGTAAAGCAGTGTACTCTTGGCTGGGCCATCTGCCTGTGTTTCATCTGATCTCAAGGCAATTTCCAACTTCATTGTTCCTTGCTCTGGCCCTGGGGTAGAGCTAGGCAGCTCTATAGAGGCATCCTGTGTGCATCCCAGCCTGAGGATTTAAATCAGTAGAGTGCTGGTGAGGGAGGTGGGCATTATAGGGAGAAGAATATGGGTTTGGGGTCACACTTGGGCTCAGAGCAACTTTTCACTGTGTGACCTTTGACATGTTCGTGGATCTCTCAGCATCTTAGTTTCCCTTACTTGTAAAATGGAGAGGCCAACAGTTACTCCCGAAGGTGATTGGAATAATCCAGTGACTTTGTCAGATCCTACCACTGCTGCTGCTCCAGTTAAAAAGAAGGCAGAAGCAAAGAAAGAACAATTTGGGGAGCCTGGTGATGCCATGGGCTTTGGTCTTCTTGACTAAACCTCATTTTTGGATAGTTACTTGATGTCTCCTCTCCAGTGTGGTCCCTGTAGATATCCTGCCACCATGGCACCTGTATTCCACCACCACCATCAAGAAGATGTGATATAGTGGACACCATAGAACATTACCCAGCGATCAGGGAAGATAAACTCATGCTATTTGTGGCAACAGGCATAGAGCTGGAAGGGGTTACACTAAGAGATGCAAAGTCAGAGAGAAAAGAATTCCTCTTTCTAAAAGCAAAGATGTTATTTTCAGTGCCCATTTCCATTTCAAACACTTAGGGGAGTACAGCCTCAGATGAGTTAGAGCCTCCCCGAACCCCACCTGGGTATCATTTCTGGACCCCCACAAACAACAGGGCTTCAGTGTGGCCTGTGCTTTCCCTTGGCCTCAGCAGGGAACTAAGGTCTCAAGTCCCCCAGTCTGTCCCTTGATGTGTCTCAACCGGGGCCTTCTCAGTGAGCAAGGACCTTGTCCGTGGGGCCCCAGGGGATCTCCACCAGTCCTACTTGTGGAAACCTCCCCTTTCGGAGAGCCCTCAACTCTGAGGCCCGGAAGTACTGCTCTTGCCCCTGGCTGACCCCTCAGGCCTCATGGTGCTCACACAAGGCATGTGGTCATAGGTGGCGCCACTCTGCAGGAACACAGCATGGACATCTGATATTCCTGGCTGAGTTTCAGGTCCAGGGAGGAAAGTTCCCATTGTTAGGACACAAATGAGCCCACGAGCCTGCTTCCTCCTCCATCAGAACATGCGCCCTGTACCAGGAGCATAGAAATGAGGACGACCATCACATCAGAGTGTGAACCCAAGAGGGCATGAGCCAGCTCAGTGTAGGGGGAGAAAGGCTCCAAAAGCCAGTCAGGGACTGGCGTCCTCTGAGCCGGGAGAGGCAGTATGGCCTGGGTGTCCCTGTGTGTGGGTGTCCAGCAGTCTTCCGCCACCTGGCCATGGTGCCGTGATGGTTTCTGTCTGGCCAAGAAGGTCACATGGGAGGTCAATGCTACTTTCCCTTAAGGATCCTCTCACTTAGCTATTCTTGAAAGAAAGAAAGAAAGAAAGAAAGAAAGGAAGGAAGGGAAGGGAAGGGAAGGGAAGGGAAGGGAAGGGAAGGGAAAGGAAAGGAAAGGAAAGGAAGGGAAAGGAAAGGAAAGGAAAGGAAAGGAAAGGAAAGGAAAGGAAAGGAA